CCCCAAAACCCCAAAACCCCGCTGTTTATTTTTGGAGTAAAATTAGTGAAATCGTCTATAAATTGAATGTGTTTGCATAATAATTCAAATTTTAAATATATTCAAAATGCTAAGAAGAGGAATAGCCTTATCTGTCGCAGCTTTATTATTGCTTACCAACACTAGTGCAATTCAAATAAGAAGAGTGCTTGGAAAGGGAGAATTGTAAGTATATTCTTCGATTAAAACCCATTTTAATAAAAATAAATGACTTATTTCTTTTTGGTAGTGCTTAAGTCCGTTAAGAACCAGAGATTACTGACTCCTCACTCCTAGAAGAAACTGAATCAGAAACATCTGAGCCAGTGGCCCCCCTTATACTATCAGCTGATTAATTAGACAGCTATAGATATGAATGCTGCTAATACATTGATAGATGGCTCGGATAAGGATATATTGATGAAAGAATTGCTGAAAATTATAGATAACTCTAAGAGGAAATTATAGCTGATCTTATTAATGAAGGAGATATAGAGAAGTTCGAATCAGCAATTGAGTCTTGCCAATCTGATAATGAATACTACAATGAAAGGGATAGAAGAACTCCAACAGCAACTGAGCCTCCCGCTCCAGAATCGAGTAATAATCCAACTCCAGATGTGACTGATCCAGTACCAGATGTGACTGATCCAGCACCAGTAAGAGAAAGAGTCACATTTACTGATGAGTAAATAGAAGAATTGAGAGTTGCTTGCACATAATAGGATGACAGACAACTAGAAGCTGGTGAAGTTTCTCAAGAAAAATATGATGAAGGCAAAGGAGCCCTTCAGAGAATTATTGATGGCATCATTGAAGATGGAGACGCAGATCTTTACTGGACAAACCTTTCAAGATGTAGGGAAGAATGACCATGATTATTGAATTGACATCTGTCGCAAAGATAATTAACAGTAACTGCTTTTCTTAAGAGTCAGCATTTTAATAACTTAATACATTCTCTAATTATCTCTTTCAAATTCACACATCTTTATAAGAAGGAAAATGGTTTTCAAAATTTTATATTCATAATTATTCAAATTCAAATAATATTCAAACCGCAATCAATTTTTTTAATTTTCATCGCGGGGTTTTGGGGTTTTGGGGTTTTGGGG